TATCTGGCTGGTTCGTCTCCGTAGCCATGTTCCTAATGTTTCGTCTTGGTCGTGTCTCTTCGTTTACGGCGGCAATTTTACCACTTCTTAGTAACATAAAATGTACCTCTCACAGAAAAAGACCAGTACGACTGTAGAATTTTTTATAATTTTAGTTTTATGAAAAAGATTTTCTAACACTGTCCCACTGGGCGTGCCATTTTGTTTCCCTTGAAAATCGGAAAACAACCGCTGATCTTCTAAATCTAACTTTGGTGACTCACAGGATCGATCAGATTGATCCTAGGACATGTGCTAAAAAGGTTTGTTTTTGTTTTAAAGGTCTATTCAAGTTCCCCACTCGAACAGTATTGGGGTGTAAGAATCCTAAAGGAACATCTATTCGACTACGGGTTAATTTAAAGATAAAACGAAGCTTTCAGTAAAAGAGAAGGAAGTTTGTTGGAAGAGAAGAAGTTAGATTGAGGACGAAGAGAAAAGAATTGCATAGGAAGGAGAGAAGTAAAGTAAGGAGAAAAAGGGGTAAAGACAATAAAAGACTTTGTAAAATTTAAAGTAAAATAAGTAAATTGCATTAAGTTAAAAGATGGTGTGTTTACATCACGTACATTCTCTACAATACTCGCTTTCTCTATACTCGGATACTTGGAGTAATTTCAAGAGTAATTTGTACAATAGTAAATTACAACACACTTTGGATATGTCTAAGACACCCTATTTATAGTAGTAAAAAATAACCTCTAATAATCTCCATCATCTTCTCCTTGCGCCATTTGTCACAAATGCATGGATCTACTGCTCATAAGGTGACATGTGTCCCCTTCAATATTCAACAAGCAAAACCGTTCCCTCCAATATTTGAATTTCAAATCCTTCGACGAACCATCCCTCACAGCAAGCGGTCGAACACCTGGCTTCTGGGTGAGTCCTTCGACTTCTTCTTCTGGCTGCTTTGTCTCTTTCGACCATTCTTCTCGTTCTCAAACTATCTTTGGTCCTTTTATCTTGAATTCCTTCCTTCTACATGAGGCGTCGAATTTAGGAGCTAACAAGCGCTCCTAAACCCAATTTTCCTACTTCAAAATAAATATTATTAGGTTATCTTTCTAAAGCAACTAACGACGTCTTAAACGAACTTATGAAACACAAGTTTCACATGAAATAAGACGGTCAACCCCCTTATATGTCTACCTATGATTTTCTGCGTTTTTCACTCTATTGAATATATTCCAAACTCTCTTATTTGAGTCTCAAACGCCCCCAAACGCTCAACAAATTCGACTATGAAAATCATCAACATATGTGATCAATTCAACAAGATTTATCTATTACTCCAACATAATCAACTCACCAATATTATTTTTACCTCATCCCCTTGCCTTATGGTTTTATAGCCAAAACCCAATGCTATGAGATAACCTTTATACTCCCACCTTATCAAATAGCGTCAACATAATTTATCAATCAAATTTCTTCTTAACATAAGGCATCAATATATTTTATTAATTTATATCTTCTATATTTTCACCTTATCAAAAGGCATCAACATAAATTATCACATCGACTCGCACCTTATCAAAAGGTTTCAACACATGATCACACCAAAATATTTTGTCAAACAACACATCAGAACTCAACAATCATGAAAACAATATCGTATCAACCGCCTTAGAAGGTTTTTCACAAACCTTCTTTTGCCTCAAACATTATCATAGAGAAAATAATAGGGTGAAGAAAAGAGGGTAAGGAAGTCTCACTACCCATTTACTTAAAACATCCAATTATGAATAATTTCCCCTATCTCGAATTTGAAGAAACTTGAGGCTTTAACAATGGAGGTTTCTCTCGTCCTGTTACAAAATCTCTTCTAAGGTTTCTCTTCTTTTACCTCTTTCTCAACTTTTCACGTACTGACTAGTTCTCTTCCAACTTCTCTATTTAATTAAACTAAATTAATCACGAGCAACCAAAAGGCTTCAAAAATTTGTAGTCAGGATATTTGAAATAGAGAAGAAAGAAAGGAGAAACATTAGACAAAATGGGTGTGGGAAGTCTATTGATGAGGTAAGTGGCTGTGAGAAAAGCAGAATCCTAGAAATAAAGAGGCAACTTGGCTTGGGCTAGGAGTGTCAAACCTGTTTCAACAATATGTATGTGCTTCCTCTCCACATACCCATTTTGATGATGAGTATAGGGGCATGTAATTTTGTGAGTGATGCCACGAGAGGTCAGGAAATGGGTGAGGGGCTTGAATTCACCACCACCATCAGTTTAGACAGACTTAATTTTAAGATTAAGTTGTAATTCAATGAGTGCTTTGAACTGAACAAATGTGTTAAGTGTGTGAGACTTGAGTTTGAGAAGGTACACCCATGTATACATGTTGTAAGCATCAACCCATGTGAGAAAATATGTAAAACCACAACTAGAAGTAACAGGGGAAGGTCCCCATATATCACAAAAAACCAATTCCAGTGGTTTAGTATAGACAGTAGTAGAAGCAACAAAAGGTAATCTATGGACCTTGCCCATACAACAAGCATTGCAAAAAATTTTAAAGGTTTTATTAGGAATATGAATGTTACATAATTGAAGAACATGCTTTAGATTTTCATGATTAGGATCCCCTAACTTCTAATGCCATATTTGATACACACTAGAACTAGAAATATTGACATTATTATACTGAACATGAAAATCAAGCCTAGGTCCTAACTGAGCGAATGAAGAATGATGATTTGCTATTTAATGAGCAACACCGAGCACTTGTGGATATGATGCAGAATGAGGAGAGTTGTCAAACTTGTAAAGTCTATCACTACCAAGTGATCCCTTCAGTAACACCTTAGAGGTAGCCTGGCATTTGACAAAACAATCATTCGCATGAAACTAAAAAAAACATATTATCTTTGGCAAATTGACTGATACTGACCAGATTCTTAGTAATAAAGGGTACTAAGAGACAATTATTGAGTTTAAGAGACTTATTAGGGCATAAATTGGAAGGAAGTGTCATAGAGCCAAGAGAAGTAATAGCCAAACCTTGCCCATTTCCCACATGAGCCTGATCAGAACCGGGAAGAGAATTGGATTCCACCATATTTGAGGCATCATAAGTGACATGATGAGTAGCTCCAGAGTCAGGATACCAATTTTGATTGCAGAAGGGAGTGTACTCAGTACCAGCTACAAGTGTTTGAGGTCTTGGTGATGCATAGTGAGCTTGGACAGAGGGATTGTCAGGTCTAGGAGTAGAGAAAAACTGAGGATTATGTGCCGTATATCCAGGATGAGTCCACACATTTGATTGTGGCATACCAAAGTTTACAGGAGCAGAAGGATAGCCATAGGACTCCTGACTGTGACGATAATAGCAATAGTTGGCATCATGGTCGGGCTTATGGCAGATTTGACACTGAACTGCACTTCTATAGCCATGGCGTGCACCACGACGACCACAAAATCTACCACCATGTTGTCTTCTACCACGAGACTGATTATGACGTCTACCAAAAGCAACACTAGGAGCATCATACTGATTTGAGTCATGATGTTCAACAGAGTTAGGAAGGTTAGGTCCAGAACTTCCTTGAGTGAGATTAACAAAAACAGCTTCAATGACCTCTTTCTTGGTCTTCTCAATGTGTGACTCTTAAGCAAGAAGAATAGACTCAAGTTCATCAAGTGACACAAACTCGGGTCTAGTATTAACAGCAGCCACTACTGAATCAAATTCAGAGGGTAGAGCTTCTAGGATAAGCTCAATTTGGTCACGATGCAATACAAGATCACCAATTGACATTAAGTTGTCAACAATGGTGCGAACACGAGCAAGAAATTCAGAGATAGTGCGCGTTCCCTTTGACAGTGATCGTAACTGTCTGGAATGTGTTTTCATCTGTGGCAGTAAGAGTGAACTTCTTCCCATACCTACCATGAATGACGAAGCAAAACGAATCTTGAGAGAATCGAATCAGAGATTGTTGACAGTAGCCAGGTGCACAACAAGGCGAAACAATGAATTTCACCATTTTCGTTCCACGCAAGACGCCTTCTACTTGTTGACGCCATTAACGATAATTTGAATCATCCAATTTCACAGAAATCTTCTGTTTAAAGGTTTTTGCAGCAGCGGAATTTGCAGCATTTGTTGTAGATGAATGCGACGGAGAAGGTGTAGTCATGGCGCAAAAAACAGGCACTAAAGATCAGAAGCTCATTGATACCATGTTATAAGTTGAGAACTCATGAAAAAGAAAGAAGAAAAAAGAACATAGTGAAAGAGAGAGAAGAAGTTATTTCATTATGATTGTTAGTTACAACAGTTATGATAGGGTATATATATAACAGCCCTTGGTAACTAACTCCTAACTGATTCTATTACAATAGTATAACAAAATCTCAACTCCCGTTAACTAACTTTAGTTATATTACATTAGGGCTATTGTATCAATACTCTAATATTGATGACAACTCAATATCCTCTTCAAGCCACTCTTTTTCCAAGTCCCCATAAAGATGCAAGGACTAACTAACTCCTAACTGATTCTATTACAATAGTGTAACAGAATCTCAACTAACCCTTAACTAACTTTAGTTATATTACATTAGGGCTATTGTATCAATCCTCTAATATTGACGACAACTCAAGTCCTCTTGAAGCCACTCTTTTTCCATGTCCCCGTAAAGATGCAAATCAAAGCCAGTCAAAATTGAAGAAAAAACTTATAAATACAGGACATTTTCAAACAGCTAATAAGAATTCCCTAACATAGTAGTAAATAAAACAAGACAATATATTATTCTATGAATTTAGATAAATTAAAACTACCCCTACAAAGACAACATTTCCAGAAGGATTGAAAAACATCATCCATGAAAGCACCGTGTAGGCCCTAGATATCCTCACAATTTCACATTTCCTGAAATTTTCTTATTCACTCAAGTTTCACTAGAAAATCCGCCAATGCCAATCAATATCAATTAATGAAAATTTTACATTACACATTCATTGACATAATTTGACGAGCAAGACCAGGATCTTGTTGTAACAGCTCTCTCAAATTGTTTTCCACCTCTGCAATCTGCTTCTCCAAGTATTCTTTTGAGTTCTGTCCAAAGCCATATTATTATTTTCACTCAGATATATCAAGGAAACTTATAATTACTATTCAAGAACACTTGAAAAAATGATGAAAGAATATAAGTTTCTAGGTAAGCGAGGGAACGACATTTACCTGTAATGCAGTAATTGAAGTTTCACTTTCCTTGAACTTGTTCTCCTGTTCGTTCATTAATGTCGCCTTCGTCTCCAATACAAACCTGGCCACGAGTGTATTAGAATATGTCATTTATATTTTCTAAACAGACCATAACTGAAACTTTGGTTGTCTATTTCATAGCATGTTTAAATAGGCAATCACAACTCACGTTTTCCCTGCAAAAACAAAAAACAAAAACAACATCAACATTTCCGAAGAAAACTAGGGAATCCACTAAATACATCAGCAATACAGTTCTAAAGACTTCTAGGACTATATCTTAGGTATTTTTTGCATACCAATGGATTTGTAAACATTAGTATCATCGGGAACCTGCTTCAGCTCCTCCATTGTCAAAAAAGAACGCTTTTTATCTGTTTCTTTGGAACGAATCTGGTTTTGCACCTGCATGCCATGGGATAATGTAAACTTTACGAGTCTCAAACAACCCCTAATAAGCACATAACTCTCAGAAGCAAAAAAAAAGCCACGGTTTCCTTTTTTGATTTTATAACTTCTAAATAAATAAAATTATGAATCCTCCTCTCCTCCAGAACTAGGATATGTGTATCCACTCTCAGATGTGTGTAACACATGCACATCCTAGCACACACAAGTAGTAATGCTTAAAACAAAGCTTCAAAATCCTAGAGTCAGCAATATGTAGTGATTGAGAAACTCACTATCATTAGTTAATGAAATATATAAAACTACCTGGGATATTATTATTGGAATCGACCTAAACTCAGCCTAGTAAAAAAAAACTCAAATTAAAAGAAAATCCCTTCAGTACCTTTTATGTTTTATGAAAGTACTTTAACAAATTTACTTATAAGTATCCAATATTCAAAACAACTACCATAAATAAATATAAACGATAAATTAATTTGAGTTCAACGTTGTAGCACCAAAACTTCAAATTGAAGATGTTTAACACGTGTCAATGCCAACACATCATCAACACATGTGGTTATTTTCAATCAATTACTATCTACTTTACATTAATAGTTATATCGAATGTGAAACACGAGATCTAAAGTAGGATCAGTTGGCTTGTGAAAATTTGTAAAACTTGGACCGTTAGCACGGCACGTAAGATCCTACCAATGGGAGAAAGGGTAATTTCATACATACATACATACACACATACATACACATATACATATACATATACATGAAAAACATAATACAGGTCCAAAAAAAACCCAGCACATTTTTTTTACGCGGCGATGAAAACAATCTTTCTCTGATGGTAGCACTCTCAGACATCCTTAGCACATAAGTTCTTACGATCCAGCATTCGATCTTGACTACACTGGTTGTATCCATTAATTGTATACATTGCCAATACATACACATACTTCCAATTGTATTTCACATTTTCACTTCTTAAAACTTGTTTACATTGTAACATGATAGTTCAAAATTGAAGGATTCACATTAACTCTTTTACTCTTATATGACTAAATAGTGACCATTAATTACTACCACTACCCTCACATATTCAGTTCAATGAAATTCAAATCAAGAACCAATAACAATGTTGATAAATAAAAATAATAACAGTAACTGAAAATTAAGAGAAAATTTAACAAACCTGCTTCAATTTCCTTGTAGTTTCTATCATGCGACCTTGAATTTCAAGGAAAGCCTGCAATTTTATGTACCAAACATGGGAAAAAATGGTTAGATCAATAAAGAGGATCGTAGATAAAAACTTCAAATAGAAAAGGGATTGCGTTTGTTACGGTTTTGATGGATTCGTCTGCCATATCGATCACCGGAATAGATTATTCTTGGATCGGAAAACGAAGTGCAGATTTCAATTCAACTGTTAAAACCCTAACGTGACTGAATCAAGAAGAAGGAAAAGAAAAAGACTATAATCTTTAAACGCACCGTTTTACCAAATAACATGCCTCCGGTCTTTTTTTATTTTTTAGATTAATTAAATAATTAAAATATTTAATCTATATATATATATATATATATATATATATATATATATATATATATATATATATATATATATATATATATATATATATATATATATATATATATATATATATATATATATATATATATATATATATATATATATATATACCTGGACTTGCCAAATCTAAGGTATATTTCTTAATTTATCATGAAAATTAGTGGCTAAATTTATGTTGTGAGAGGTTGATTATGCTTAGACAAAACTAAGTAGGTAACTTTTTCTCATAACATGTTATTAACTAGCAAACAACCTTTTCAAAGTGTTTTTAAAAACTAAAAAGTGTTTTTAGTGTTTTCTTAAACATTCATCTTTTTTTTTCCCGGGGAAGGGAGTTGTTGATGATTTCAAAAAAGAAAATTTTTGCTAAAAACATTTTGACATCTTTGATTTGGGAGAAATCCTTCTATCCCTTCGGGTTGATAGTTAAACAATTTGTTGTTTGCTTAGATGACTTTTAATTGGTTGTTGTTTTAGCTAAAATTATGTTATGAGTCCAAGTTATCTATTTAGATTTAACTTTGCATATCAACCAATCACAACATTCTTAGCCTATTGCCCTATGGATTCTGATGATGATAATCATCAAAATAATTTAATAAAAAATGAAGAATTAATTGAATATCCAAAAAATATGGATAAACTCAACAGATGGGTTATACCCTCAGTTCCTTCTAATCAAATTTATAGATTTGGTAAGATAGATGTTTTTTCTCGTTTTGCTGTTAAAACTTTAGAGCAAACGATTCAAATTTCTAAAGAAACTCAGACAATAAAACTGTTAACTAAAAAAGATTTGAAACCTTTTAAAAATTATAATTTTATCCATATTGGATTGGTTCAAATTGCTTTAAAACCTTTAACATTATTGGGTTTAAATTCTAGCATAATGGCTTATGTTAGAGATGGTAGATGTAAAGATTTCAAACAATCTTTAGCTGCTATGGTTGAGACAAGTCTGTGTCATGGACCAGTTTACTTTGATGTCTCACCTAATTTAAATCTATCTTTATCTGATAAAAATTTATTAGATGCTATGCAATTAACAGTTCATACTAATGGTTATAATTTTAAACCGGGAAGTGAAATTATAGCAATATGCTATAGAATCTACTATAAGGTTCTTACTACGCTTAATCCTAAAGCAAAGCATTTATCATTTCCTGGAACCACTACTTTGGTTCAAACCAATTTATTAACATCCAATGTTGCAACCAATAGGTTAATAAAGTGGGATGAAATAAACTTCCCAGAGACATGGTCTCTCCCCCAGGAAATAGATCCTGAACCTATCCTTAATAGGGATATAGACCAAATTATTCAGACTACTGAAGGAGATTTAGAAATAAATTTCACTTCAAAAAGAATAACTAGAATACCCAGGTCCCTATCTGCTAGGCACTCAGTTAGTGAATTTTACACAGCTCCTAGCCAATTACCTAGACCTTCTACTTCTCAAATAAGAGAAGAAATAGAGGTCGTTGAGAATATAAGACTAAGCGAAAATAGAGTTCCCCATGGAATTTATCAAAGACCTCATACTCCAAGAGTAGAATCACCTACTCAGTCAGATATGGATTTCCAATTATAATGATAGATTACTCCCCTGGTAGTAAGATGAGACAACTCATCAATGATGAGTTTCAACATGAGAGATACTCTCAATTTAGAAATTGGTTTTTTAAAAAATTTTCAAAACCTGAATTAGCCCAATTTAAAGATGAGTATTACACTCAAATGAACCTTGAGCAGGATTTCGTTCCTTTTGTTAAATGGTTTGTTAATTACTTTATAAATAAAAAGCAAGAAGAAATTCTTGTGTTACAAAGACCTTGGGAAAACATTAGAGGAGAAATAATGGAATCTCCTTTTCCCCCTGAACAAACAATAAGTTTGAGTCAAAATACTGAAGCTACCCCTTACCTTAGCCTTCAGTTACAAAGAGTTGAACAAAATCAAGTTACTCTTAAGGAATTAAATTCAGTTATCAGGTCTCAAAATTATACCAATGCTTACCTTGTTTGCTTAGGAGAACAATTTATCTCCATGGAAAAAGATCTCTTATCCATAAAAGATCTTTTAGAAAAACAAATAGAGCGTCAAGATATCATTATTGACCACATAAGTAAACCTAAAGACCAAATGTCCACATCCACTATTTCGGATGTTCCTATAGTACAACCTCCTGTTTCCATAGAAGGATTTAAAATGGAAACTAACGGAGAAGAATTTGTTCGTATTTTAGAACAAAAACTAAAAGGACTTAATATCACTGTCATGTCCCATGAAGATTATTCTGAGGATAATAATGACAACCATATTGACCAGCTTGCTGACATGTTTGCTAATTTAGACATTAGTAACCTTGATATTAATACTAATAGTATTAATAACACTAATAGTATAAATCCTGTTTATTCCCCAAGGCCTATAGAAAAGTATTATTACAAGCGTCCCTCACCGCAAGATTTGCTTTTTGAGGAATCAGAACCTTTCCAGAATTCTTATTCAGGAAAAGCCATTTATGAATGGAATGTTGATGGTCTTAATGACAAACAAATTATAGATACTATCCATAGGATGATCATGTACTCTACTGTTTGCAAGCAACATGGAAATTCTGATGCTTCAATAGCATCCTTTATAACAACAGGATTTGTTGGCCAACTTAGAGGCTGGTGGGATCATTATCTCACTGAATCTCAAAAATTAGAGATTCTTAATCATAAAAAAATCGTTAAGAGCGAACCAAGAACTAGTACGAGCACTATTGTGGCTACAACCACCACAGGAGAAGAAGATGCAGTGTATACACTGTGTCTCTCCATCTTACAACATTTTGTAGGAACCAATGTCCCCATTGGAGAAAAAATCCAGACACTTCTCCAAAACCTTAGGTGTCCTTCTCTCACCCACTTTAGATGGTATAAGGATACTTTTCTTTCAAGAGTTTATCAATTAAACAATCCCAATTCTTTGCATTGGAAAGCAAAATTTATTGATGGATTACCTCATTTCTTTTCAGAAAAAGTTAGACAATCCTTAAGACAGAAAAATGATGGGATAAATATAAATTTTTCAGATCTTACTTATGGTCATATAATTAGCACTTGTGTTAATGAAGGATTAACTTTATGTAATGACATAAAGCTTAGAAATCAACTCAAAAAGGAAAAGCTTTCTGAAAAACACCAAATTGGTGAATTTTGTGAGCAATTTGCTTTTGATCTTGGAAAATCTCCAGATAATAAAAAGAAAAAAGAAAAAATTTTCCGCAATAAACCTTATAGGGATAAGCCAAAATATTCTTATAAAAATTCTTATAAGAATAAGAAAAGGGGCCACTACAATAAGAGTAGACCTAAAGAAAAATCTTTTGACCCTAAAGGTAAAAGAAAAGCCAAAAGGCTTGACATAACATGTCATAAATGTGGCAAACCTGGCCATTATGCCAACCAATGTTGGACTAAAAAAGCTCTTAATGAGATAGAAGATGAACAATTACGTTCTCAATTAGAGAAAGTTTTACTTCTCAAATCTGATTCTGAAGAATACTCTTCTGAAGAAGATATTAATATGATTTATGAATCTTCTTCTGATTACTCATCTGAATCTTCTAACAATAATAATTGTCAATGTAATCAATTAGATTACTGGAAATCAATAGTAGATATGAATGGGTTAAATGTTTTAACCTCAGAACAGGATGGAGCTATAAAGGCTATAGAGTCCATTTCTGATAAAAACCTTAAAAGAAAAATGCTTGAGGTTCTAATCCAAGAAAACTCTAAAAGAGAATCTCCTATTATTACAGAAGCACCTTACCAATTAAGTGAGGTTTTGTCTAGATTTAGACAGTCTAACATTCGTGAAACTCCTGTTTCTATTATGGATTTAAATAGAGAAATAAATCTCTTAAAAAATGAGATAGCTCAAATTAAAAAAGAAAACTATGGTTTATCTCAAAGGCTCACTTTTTTAGAGTCCAATAATTCAAGGGTTGAAGAAATAGCTTCAACTAGTAATCCTTCACCTAGTGATGATTTCCTTTCCCTCATTGATAGAGTGACCTCCCAAAAATGGTTTGTTAGAATAACTTTAGTGATTAATAGAAATTTCATATTAGAAAATGAAGTTGCCCTTATTGATAGTGGCGCTGATTTAAACTGCCTTCAAGAGGGAATTATTCCCACTAAGTATTTTGATAAAACTACTCAATCTCTTACACAAGCTGGAGGAGATAAACTCACGGTTAATTATAAATTGTCTAATGCTTATGTTTGTAACAAAGATATTTGTTTACCCACTCACTTTATTCTTGTGAAAAACTTAACTCATAGAATTATATTAGGAACTCCCTTTCTGCATAAAATTATGCCTCTAATTAATGTTGATCAAAAGGGAATTACCTCCATTATTAATAATAAAAGAATTACTTTTGAATTCATTACTGATCCTCATACTAGGATGATTAATGAAGTTAAAGATATTCTTCTTAAAAAAGAAAAACAAATTTGTTTTCTTAAAGAAGAAGTGGGTTTATTAAACATCACTTCTCAACTAAAAAACCCTGAAATTCAAAATCAAATTAAATTAATTGATCAACATTTTAGAGAAGAAATATGCAATGATTTACCTAATGCCTTTTGGGATAGGAAGAAACATGTTATTTCTTTACCTTATCTTGATGACTTTAATGAAAGTCAGATTCCCACTAAAGCTAGGCCTGCTCAAATGAATCATGAGTATTTGGATTTATGCAAAAAAGAGATA